CGCTGAAACTCTCTATCTTGCGGTGCCACGAGTACCTGGCGAAACATTTTCTCCACATCGGCGGTGATAGCGACCGCATAACGTCGAAAACGGAGTATAATGTTGATTAACGAATCTTGAATGGGAGAGCCAACGAGCTGTAAATCGTTGAGTGAGAGCCCGTTCGAAGTAGGAGCGGACGCGTTAAATACCACGCGGAATATTCCCACCACAGCATGGTGCGGAATATAATAGCATCCAGGCTGAACGAATGGCTCAAGAACTCTCTCCATGTGGCCAAGGGTATCATATTCCCTCATAAATGCTAAATATTTTGCATGCATGTCCGGATCAGCGGTCAAACGTCGTTCCAAACGTGATAACTGTCGCCGGGCGCTGACGTAAGAGTCGCCTAATGGTTGACAGTCTTGGCAGAGGGGCAGCCTCACAATATAGCATCCCTCTGCCGTACGGCGGTGAGTAGTGGCAAAGAACCGCTCGCATTCATCATCCAAGCACTTGGATGTAACGGGTACTTCTTCAAGCTTCCAAAAATTGCAGATAAGGTCCTCTAAATAAGGTTCGTCTCTAATCTGCGTGCAATAAATTCCAACTGTTGCATTCGAAGTGCTCTGAACTGATGCTGGTCCGAATACAACCCAACCAAGTCGTATGACATCTTTCTCAACGATCGAACCCCAGACATCAACACCAAGAAGTACATCAACATTACCCGCGGTACCGAAATATGGGTCTGCCAATTGAAGATTTGCCAAATGTCCCCATTGACCAATATCGACGCTAACCGCGGGGGTAACTGAACTAATCGAACCAATGACCAATGCGTGAATGTCTAGCTCAAACTGAGAAAATATGCTTTTTATTGTAAAGCGGACGCTACCCTTGGTTCTCGTACACGCAACTCCGCCAATGCCCTCCACCATGATCTCACACTTGCTCCTATAAAGACCCAAACTATTAGCCAAACTTTCGGAAAATAAACTTACTTCAGAACCAGGGTCGCATAATATACGGGATGTTCGCTGCTTGTGACCCTGGCCGAATACGTAGGCTCGCGCTGTAGCCAGAAAAATCGTTTGACTTCCTTTGCCGACGTTGGTAATGGTTGTATTGCTTGCTAGTCATAATGATGGTGGGACTGGATTGGCTATACTGTCTGGTTTAGCCATAGGAGTATCTACCCCGTCAGATGTACTAAGTTGCTGTGATTTGTTGCGGCAAAAAATCGTATGATGTCTGTGGCCGCACTGGCGGCAGTTGCCGGAGGAGCATAGTTTAGATGGGTGTCCGGATCGCAAACAGTTAAAGCACAAATTCGATCGCTTTAGAGCTTCAAAGCGTTGATCCGGCCCCATAGCCAGAATGGCCGGACAACGCATAACCTTGTGTGGTCCTTGACAGTGCTGACATTTGCCATCGCCAGTCGCGGCGAGGTTGCACTTTAGAGAGCGGGGAGTCTTCTTCTGCTTTGAGGAAGAATGCGGCACGTCGGGACGATCCGCTACCTGGCAAAACTCAGTTGAGAGACTATGTGCTCGTTTCTCTAAAAACGCTAGCAAGGCAATTAAAGTTGATAGCTCGGTGGAAGAGAAATGCATACACCATTCTCGCTGTGTTCTAGCGGAGAGTTTAGAAACCACAATGGGTACGATAAGGGCATCCCACTTGTCGGCAGGTAACTTCATTACCGTTAACGCTCGCAAGGATTCGTTTACCACATCAACGATGCCCAATAATTCCTTGGACGTATCCTCAGCCATTGACTTCATGTTCAAAACTCTAGCAACGTGAATCTCCGCTAATTGCTTAGGGTTGTCATACCGATCTTTCAGCGCCTTCCACACTTCCTCGTACCCNGCAGGTAACTTCATTACCGTTAACGCTCGCAAGGATTCGTTTACCACATCAACGACGCCCAATAATTCCTTGGACGTATCCTCAGCCATTGACTTCATGTTCAAAACTCTAGCAACGTGAATCTCCGCTAATTGCTTAGGGTTGTCATACCGATCTTTCAGCGCCTTCCACACTTCCTCGTACCCACCTGAATACAACCCTCCTACTAACGGAACCGACTCTGCCTTAACAGCTTGGCGTAGTTTCCCCAGCTTGTAAGCCACCGGCAAATCCCGATTATGTACCAACGTCTCAAACAAATCCTTGAATGCAAGCCACTTATGGGGGCAGCCGTCAAATGATGGTATACAAAGTGGCTCTAATTTTAATTCCATCGGCGAAGCCTTGTTGGTTGACGACTGAGAGTCACACTCAAATCCCTTTCGAAGTTGATTCAGCATTGCGCACAAGTCCATGTAGGTAGCTTCGGTGGAGTCCCACTACACCGATCAAAATGCACTGCAGCAGATTTTAAGCGTTGATCATTTTGGGTGACGTTGAGCTCACCAGGCTTTGCCTCCTTTACTTGCACATACATCCGCAAAATAGCGGCCGCATGGAACTTTCGCAGATTTATTTCTGTCATTTCCGAGATCGAAGAAAATATCCACAATTATCTGCGAAATCAGGCCCGATCCAAACCAAAGTACTTGTGCGTCGAAAAGTGCTAATTAAGCTGAAGTTATATTGCGTTTATTAAAAGTCCTCACAGGAGGCACCAAAATGTGTAATAAAAAACGTGAGCTCAGCTTAATCGCACATCCAATTTATTAAAAGTCCAAGTTGAGAAGGAGGAAATCAGAAAAATTACAGATCAATTTACTCCGAATAGAAATAATAGAGAAAAGCAAAAAGTAAATTACAGGGTGATTCAAATGGCGCAGTTTTAGTTAAAGTAGAATCTTAGACAGATGCAGTTGTACTTTAATTGCTTCTGAAAACGCTATCCACCTTGGAACTGGAATGTCTGCTAAATAGATCGCGCTTTGTTGAAATAACTTCCACAAATCCATGATACCATTTGTAATGGCGTCATCCCAACCAAAGTTCAACTTCCATACGTCCTGTATAATGATTTTGCCCGCTATGATAACTGGCGCATAAAGACCTGTAGGATCATACACCTGGGCGATGTGACTGATGATCTGACGTTTTGTAAATGGTCTCGTGTTTTCCACAGGGTAGCCTCGTATTTTGATATAAAAATTATCGGAATTTGGATCCCAAATCATGCCAAGTATTCCTGACTTAACCTGCAATTCAATCTCGCAAGTCCGGTGTTGGTGAATTCTTTAGCAAATTCGACATTGTTACTCGCTCATTTAGCTAATTGAAAACCGCCAGATTTAAGCATATCTATCATCTACCTGTACAGGCTTTGCAACTCCTCAATGAACTCAGCTCCGCCTAAAACGTCGTCCATGTAAAAATTTGTTAGCGTGGCCACTGAAGCAAGAGGAAATCTTTCGGCTTCATCCAAAGCACATTGTTGGAGTGCCCTAACAGCATTGAAACCAGACGGTGATGTAGTATTCACCAATTGAATGGCCAATCCAAGGGCGAAAAAAAATCGCTGGAAACCTGACGAAACATCTTGATGATACCTGCAGTTAACGCGAAACGGTAATTCCTAAACAACAACAAAGTCTCATACAAGTCACCTTGCAGCTTTCCACCTGGCAACTGAAGGTCGTTGGATGATACACCAGACCATCGTCTGGAGGCATCGAAACCGACACGAAATTTCTTTTTCGATATAATATTATAGGGTATGTAATAAGATAAGCTAGGATCTTCTGGAGCCAGTGGGGCCGGTACTAAATGACTCTCTTTAACATAATCATCCATGAAGTCTCTACAGGTTTCTGCCATGCAAGTATTCCTTTTGAGCCGGTTTCCCAAAGCCAAAAATCTGTCAAAAGCCGTCGGACGAGAGCGCCCAAGAGGAATGGATATTTCTTTCAATGGTATCATTGCTACGTACCGCCCCTCTTCATCCCTAGAATACGTCGATGCAAAAATATTCACGGCGCGTTCCTCTTCGGAAGTGCGCAAACAATGGTCTTCGCCGTCATCGACCGACCAAAATAATTCGAATCTTTTTTCTAAGTTGTAGCAGGAATGAGAGATGTGAAAAGAAAGAGAACATAAAGGTTCAACATTCCAGACACAGCCCGACATAACCCATCCAAGCATTGATTGTTGAGCAATAAACCGACTAGCGTCTGAATCAGAACGAATTATTCCATTCCGTATTATTGAAGCCCAAGTTGAAACACATATGAGGCCCCTAACTGGCCCCTGTACCGCAAACGTTGGATCCGAGAGATCATCATTTTGAAACTGACTCATAAGTCTGCACTTAAAGGCTCGTTGCGGATTCTTACCCGATATCCTTTTAAAAATGACAAAACGCACCTGCAAAGCAGCTTCTGAGTTCTCTATGTGGCACAATACACAATCAATGTAAACCAGCGATTGAATCGGTGGTGCATCACCGACACCTCTGATGGAGATCTTACACGGCATGCGATTAAGACACTACCTATGAACACACGCTTGCGTTATTAGATTTAGCTGTGAGCCGCTATCGCACAATAGGCGCACGTCTCCGGTTAGCGTTCCGGCGTTTTGCCACAAGTGACACACTGCTGATCCAATAGGATAATATCGATAATATCGACAACCCTTCATCAGGCTTCGCCGTTTCATAAAGATCCATTTTTTCACCTGAAAACATGGACGAGCAGCCAGCCGTAGCAATATGAACTTTCCGTTCCATGCGCCCCTTCCGGATACTTGGGACAATTAATTCGATTGTGTTTCGCGTAGTTACACGCCTTGCACCCTCTCCATTTGCAATTTTGCACCAAATTCTCAACTGACAAACAAGATTCACAAAGCTTAAGATCTCTAATTTTGCCCACTCAGTCATTGTATCCCATACTGCCGAGTTTCTCACAATTCCATGAGTGATGACCTCCTTTACAAAATGCGCACTTGTCACTACTTTTCTTACTCGAAAATAGGTTCACGGCTAGTTGGCTGACAGAAAACTCGTTGCTGAACTTAAATCGCTTATCGCGATAACTCTCCGTGTCAGTGGCACACCTCTTGCCTTGACCATCGTTAAAACACCGGTCTGTAATTACACTTGCAGAGCCTAATCTGTTTGCCTTTATGTTACGCATCGCGAAAATGCGCCTTTCTAAAAACGGCAGCAGTTTTGAGAGTGAAGGAGGGTCGGTAGGATTCCTATCCATTTCCCACGCAGCCCTGGTTGACTTGTCAAGTTTACGCAACACATGCACGGCCATAAATGGGCTCCATGTATCTGTGCTGCAATTAAACCGATCCAATGATCGCAGTTCTTGTTCGACGGTATCAATAATTATTCGCAATTTATCTGATCGTCCAAATTCCATCGTCGGAATATCGGTAAGCTGATTAATATGCGTCGTCACAATCTGATAAGGGTTATCATACGTGTCCTCTAATTTCTTCCAAATTCTATCTAAATCACCTTTGTCACGATGTCTCGCTTGTCATGCACATTTCCGAGCTTCACCTTCCAAAGCTTTTAGCAGCAAATCGACTTACGACCCTGAAGACAATTCAGTTTCCAATACTTTACTCACAAATTATGCGCGCCAAGAAGTCCATTTAGTATAATCGCCGTTAAACTTAGTCAGTTTAATCTCCGACACTTTAAGCAAAGTCCGGCCATGGTTAGGGTTGGCCAAATTCATAAGCGCAGTCGATCGCTGTTTGATATTAAAGTATAAATTCGCCACCTCGAAGGCAACTGCTTCGTTCCGAGAGCGAGTCTCCTCACTGATGCTAGGCAATTCAGATACCGCTAGTTGCTTGGTCTGAAATGATGACCAATGTCTTTCTAAAGTAGCCTTTTGCATATCAATTTCTGCTTCATTCCAGCACTGTGCCTCTAAAGACTGACATCTTTTATCAAGGCGCTTGATGAGCTTACTAAGAAGGTTTCTATCCTTAACCAACTCTGTGTACGCAGAATTCATCGTAGAGTGGAAAAACCAAAAACAAATTCGACGTATGCAATAAGAGCTGAATGTTAAACCGACTAATAGGCACTCAAAAACCACTTCCGCGAAGTCCTGCAAAGAAATGACAGCATTAATATAAATGCTTTAGCTCAAAGTCACAATTAAACCAAATGCTGCGCGCTATGTATCAATTATGATAACGTCCTTTCGCACACTCGCTAATGTCCGAATAAATATTGAGTGGTATGACACCACCGTGTAACAGCAAGCGAACGACGCGAACGACGACAAGCGGTGTGTCATAAGTGAAGCCACCACAGCATGGATTAAAACCAGGTACCGCCATGCTTCCAAAATTTGCAAGCGGTGTACCATAAGTGACGCCACCACAGCATGGACCGAATGCAGGTACCGCGGCGCGTCCAAAATTTGCAAGCGGTGTATCATAATTGACGCCACCACAGCATGGACCAAAATCAGGTACCGCGACGCGTCCCAAATTTGCAGACAAACTGTGAGAGTCATGACCACGAATAGTGCAATATCGTGCATGCTCTTCAACGGCTGTACTATTCATCATAGGGGTGAAAAAGATGATTGCCAATGACAATTTCCAAACTAAAAACCGGCAACATACACGCTAAAACAAATATAAACTACATATACCAATATTAAAAGAACAATACAACCTAATTCATGCAGCCTTTTCTGCAAAATGCGCAAAACGATCACGGGTTTCGGCACCAAAATGTTGCGGCAGTTGCCGAAATTATTGAAATTATTCCAGTGCAATATAAAACGTCTGATTGCAATGAATTTAACAAAATAAAAATAATAAAATATTCACTTTATTTCATATGACAATCAACGACAATCGTTCAATCACATAGCACACTAGTAACATATTTACCAAGGAAAATATCGAGCAAGTAACATATTCAACAGGGTCGTTGTGGTAGATTGTCATAAGTTGGTATTTCTTTTCTTCGCCGGTCACAGTTTCGACAGGATCTGTTAATATAATATGTAATGTCTTTAAAACTTTATTTCCGCGCTCTTTTAAATTTGCTATTGAAAAATATTTGAAAAATAAGTCATCCTTAGGCCATTCTAACTTCCTAATGTTACGATTGTTGGCTTCGACCGCAAGCCGCGAAAGCAACTCTTTGAAATTCGTTTTTTCGTTAACAATCGCAAAATTAAGTAAATCGAGTTTTTTGTGTTTTAAATGTGCACAAACTTGAAAATTTTAAATTGTATTATTTTTACCAAGTACTATATTTGTTTTCACCCGGGGTATTTTCTTTGAGAAATCATATGAAAATTTGTCATAAACCCGTAATTTAATTTTGTCATTGCATTCACTATCGTCCTTTAATTGTGTTTGATTCGTCATT